TATTCAAAATTGTATTTTACCAGTAGCCAACCTATAAAATCAAAATTTTGGGTGGAATAAAGTACCTCATTAAAGAACCAAAAGCGGTGTTATAATGAAGTCATTATGAAACCAAAATAGATAAATGATTTGTATATGTTTGTATACGAGGTGTGTTCAGAAAATATCGGGAATTTTAGTTTTTTGAAACAATTATTTATTTATTCGTCTACATTAATGTTGTCGCCTTCAAAATAGTCCCCATTGGATATTATGCACATGTGCCAGCTCTTCTTCCAATACTCGAAACACTTCTAAAACTCGATCTTTGGGATAGCCTTTAGTTCTTTCAGCGATGCGCTTTTAAGGTCGTCTATGCTTGCAAAACGACGGCCCTTTAAGGTTCTCTTTATTTTTGGGAATATGAAAAAGTCAGACAGAGGCATGTCTGGCGAATATGAAGGCTGGGGCATCATTACAGTACTGTTTTTGGTCAAATATTTTGTTCAAAATTTAACAATTTTAGAACAAATTTTGCTGCCACGCGTTTCATACCCAAAACATTCGAAAAAATTTCATGGGATAAGCCAATCGATATACCAATATCATCAGCGACTTCTCTGATGGTTTATAACCATTTCTTCCACTTTTTCCATGTTTTTATCGGTTGTTAATGTGCTTGTGCGTTTGGGGAGTTCGTCAACTTCAACGTCTTCACGGCCATCTTGGAAACTCTTATACCACTTGTAAACTCTTGTTTTACTTATAGCAGACTCACTACAGGCCTTTTTTAACATTTCACAGAATTTATTTCATTTTTTAAGCAAAATTGGATACAAATTTTTTCATCCATTTCTTTTAACGAACGAAAAATCGCCGAGCTCATAAAACACGTCTAACCTTAGCGGCTGCCACAGACAAAGTAAACTATGAAAACAGCTAAAGTTTTTATCATAATTCAGGGGCATGTATACCAACATAATAAAGAAAATTTTATGACAACCGGACCCTCCGAACCCGCGAAATTTAACAATTCCCGTTATTTTCTGAACACACCTCGTATGTCTTGTCTTACAGCGCCATCTCTTTGATTTGTGAGGACTTTTGACCCACCTTTGCGCAAAATTTCAATTGATTTTTTAGTGTAAAATTAACATAAACGAAGAATTTTTAAAGTACTTGAGATCGATAAAATTGGGTAGAAATAAGACCGACGATCAGGAATACTTTTTCGCTTTGTCCTGTTACATGAACAAAATGCTGAAAAAATTCGACGACGTTTTCGAGAATAAAAAAGACAAAATACTTTTGAAACCTGATTATTACTTTTCGAACCCTAACGATAATAGAAATGATGACGAAGAAATTGACAATGAAAAAATAGCGCAAAATCTAGGTCTTGCCGAAAAAGACAGCGCTAACAAATTTAAATCGCAATTTGCTCTAAAAAATGACGTATACCAGACATACTATTGTGAAGTTTCAAATAACAACCAAGATCCCAAATTATTTCGAAAGAAGAATAACCTTCAGCTTGAAACTGTCACAGAAAAAAATCTATTTCATGTTTTATATGTGGAGGAAACCAATACGTCAAATATAGATGTATGTATTATAAAGAGTGTCCAAAAGTTATATAGTCACGGCCAAATCTATATGGGTGCACGTCATCAATGAGATATAATGACGTCAGCATTACCAACTTTGAATTGTAAAGTTATTGCCGTTAAATTTGCTTTTTTAAGGCGTAATTCTGATGTGTTATTAAAAAGAAATCATTCATTTGCGTATTGTTTACCAAGAACTGTAACAATTTCCTTGTTTTAAAAACGTTTTTTCCACGAAATTATCAAAATAAAACCATTCACTTAGTAATTTTTGTGTGTGCCAGTTGGTAATAGCTTAAGGCTGGCGCGCACCGTTCAATATTATTGATGGGTCGCTGTCATTTTATATTTGACGTATTTTTGTAATTGTGACATTTCGTCCGGAAGCATCGTTTGTTGCAAATTATTATAAATAATATTATACATTATGTTTATAAGATTCAATCCCTGGATTGTGCAAACAATGATATAAGGCCTGTTGGCAACTAGCCGTTATTAGATTTCGAAGACATTGCGCCCTTAATAATAAATTTGGGGAAATAATCAAAATTCAATTCTGACCTGGTTTGCTCTGATGACAAGGACGACTGGTAATTTATTATTTTTGTGTTTCTGATAATTTAGTATTTTTTTGTTATGTGCATATGTAATAAAAATGTAATAAACTCCGTTTGTTTTCTCTTTAAACACATTTAATAAAAATTTGCCTGTAACAAACTCCTAATTAGTTAGTGCAGAAGATTATACAAGGACGTTATAATTCCATCTTAATAACAGCCCCCACCGCTATAAACAGTCAACAATACACGAGCGTTAGATTGTGTCTGGGCACGTATGAATAGACCTTAACGCTGACGTCATATGCCGTTGATGACGTGCACCCATACAGATTTGGCCGCGACTATACGCCATTTTAGTGTACGAGGTGTGTACAAAAGTAACAGGATTCAAAATTTGCGACCTTCTAAAAATATTTTTTAAATTTTAGGTGTTATAAATTGTATTGAATAGCCATTATTGTTGATGTTCAACAAAACAGTGGGTTTAGTGGTTATGTAACATTTTTAATAATAAAGGACAAAAAATATTGTAGTTTCAATGCCAAATTAATTTTTATTTACAATCACAATATTTTTTGTCCTTTATTATTAAGATTGTTACTTAACCCCTCAATCCACTTGTCCCTTGAACCAATTAATTAATTGTTAATTGCGACTACCACAATTAACAATTTATAAATTATTAATTGTGTGTATTACAATTAACAATTAATTAATTGTTAATAATTATTGTTATTGCTACAATTAAAAGTTAATTAATTGTTAATTGCGACTATCAATTGCAGTAGTTACAATTAACAATTCATTAATTTTTGTCTAAGTGACAGGTGTCAAAATGACAGCAGGAAAGATAAGTGAAGTTATTAACTTTTAAAGTTTTTGCTTTTTTTTAGTAAGAAAAATACATCTTAATGTGCCCTGATGGGCCTCTACTGGTAAATAATATAAATACTGTTTCTATGCATATTTACAGTCTTTTTACAAATAAAAATATAATTTAATATCTTTCAATCAATTTTAATAAATCTTTGGTTTGTTCCTTTATTTTTGCTGATAACTCGTTATATTTCCTTATTCCCCTGATGCATCAGCTGTTTTTGACTAGTTCTTGTTTTTGCTCTGTGTATTCTTATTTTTTTCCTATTTTTAGTTTTGTAATTGTGTATTTCCTCCTGCTTTGCTAGGTTTATTTTGTTGTCTATAATTATAATTTCTCCCTTGTTCCATTTATGTAATATTTTTACTGTTTTAAGTATATGTAATTCGTTGATTTTTAAATATTTTGTTTTTTATATATTTCTTGCCATTTTTACTTTTGGGTACATTGCCCATAAAACATTCTCTTCTCTTTTGCTGTGAAAAACTGCTTATATATTGATTGTTAGTCTATTTCAAGGGATAAATTTTGATTTACACAGAAAAATTTATCATAAATTTCAATAAATACAACTGTCACTTTTTTTACCTTTAACATTTCCCTTGAAGAATGTGATAATATTTTGCAATTATCAATTTCTTCAATTTACTTGTCTCTTTTTTGCTCATGAGTATTTTGCCTTTATTAAACTTTAACTGTACAAACCTAAGTTTTATTTCTTTTTTTTTAGTTTCCTGTCCTTTTTAAAGAGCATTTGATTTTAAAAAGTCATGTCATGGTTTAAGAAAATGTCTTTATTTTTATTTTATAATTTGATAATAATCTTTCCTTAGCTTCCATTGAGGAAAAATTACCTTTATTAATGGTTTATTATTATATTTTCCTATTCTTTGTACTTGTTCAATGTCTTTATCTTTTATTTTACTATTGCATTGTTCTCTAATATTTACAAGTGTTTGCTGGTGTTTACCATCATCTTCTTTTGCCAGTCCCAATATTACGTATTATGTTTTTGGCTAGTTTTTCTTGCCCCTTTCTTAATTTTTTTTATCTTTTTTTAGTATTTCTATTTTATTTCGTAATTGTGAGTTTTCTTTGTTCATTTCTTCTAAACGCTTTAACATTTTTTCGTACTTTTCTTTAGAAGTTTATTAATTACATCCATTCATAGTAAAGTTTTTCTTGGTTTTGGTTTTCAGTAGCAACCCCACTTTCTGATGTTGTTTCTTCTGCCTCCTGCTCTGTTTCTTCTTAACATTCAGAAAATTCGCATTCGACTAACTTTGCTTTTTTCTTGTCTTTCTTTAGGTAAATTTGTGCACGTTTGATGCGCCCACTTTTCACATTTTATGCACTGTACTTGGTATGTATTTGGTCTCTGAACTGTCCAAATCTGCACTTAACTTATTTTCATGCTAAAATGCCCTATGTACCCTTTTTTTTCTTACTCCTTTCATTGCGATTGATTTAATTAAATTTTACTTAATCTAAATAAATTAATTGCAATGTACAGTTATAAATTAATTGTGATTAATTTTAATTTCAATTACTTTTTTAATCAATAAACTAATTTATTGAATATTTAATTGATTGATCTAATATTTAATTGATTGATAGATACACTGCGACGGTCATGTTAAAAATTATTTTTATTTTAAACCCTTCTACCTTAAAATTTTATTAGACTAATACTCCCGTTACTTTTTTACAAACCTTGTTAATTTTGGACATGTTTGTTTTAAATCGAACTGTATAATATTTACGTATATAAATTTTCAGACCTCACTTGATCTGTGCAGTGGGGACCACTTGACAAGTGCTCTTTTACCCGAAACCGACGATAATACAAATAATGAAAATAACGAAATAGAACTTAGTAAAAAGAAATCTAGATTTAGCTGTGTTATATCCTAATATTATACTACATTTTAATTAATATATTTTATATTATACATTATTTTTTTGTTATGATTATAGGGCCCAAAAGTGCACAAACCGACAACATCGCGTTGGCCCTTAAAATGGCAACGTGTAATCTCACAGACGACACCAACGAAAATTCTAATAACAACAGCGATAACGAGTTTTATTAGGGTGTTATAATAAAATATATTTCATACAAAAGTTAAGCTCTGTGTAACTTAGACAGTTAAAGAGAATGGACTCGTAACGCCTATTACACACGGGCGTAGCGAATTTCATTACTTAAAGCTGTGTAAGGTATAAAAGTCATCAAAAACAAAAAATGAGATTACGTACTTGTCAGAAGTATTTACATGGTTGTCAGTTTTATTTTATGACGGTTTGTTTCAAGTTTTGTATGGAATATACGTCACAAGTTTAAATTTACACTGTGATATACAGATTTTGTGATTTACAACATAAAAACGATATTAACTACAAACATCACCCAGAAATGATTGTACTATGCTCCACACCTCAAAGTCCCACCACGTGACCACGTACGGAACGCAGTCTTTTGAAAATGTGGCATTTAAGGCTTTTCAGGTTATGTATCTGTCAAAGTATAGTCAACGAAAGAAATAATATTATGTTTAGGCGTTAAAATGTATAAATCTTTATAACATTACAATAACAATGGATGGTTTAAGAATTTAAGAATATAAGTACTGCATTTAATGAAATTCTAAAATTTATGGTGCCAAATAAGTAATATTTTTGTGCATTTGGTCCAAATATCTGGTTTTCTCCATAAAATAATTTTAACTAAACAGCATTTATTTAAAAAAAGGTAGGTTAATATATTATAACAAAAATATCATCTAATTTAGTAATTTTAAGGTTAGAAAAATTAATTTTGACCAAAATAAATAAGTATTTTGGATTATTTAAAAGATGTATAATATGGTATTTAAAAATGTGGTAGTTTTTATTATCCAGCTTAAAGTGTACCTACATAAAGTTTTGTCAATACAAATAGTTAAAAAGCTTCGACTGAATTTGATCTACATCAAAAAACCATTATAACTTTAAAAATTTTAATAAATCACATGTCATGGGAGTATTAAATATTTTCACATTGCAAGTTTCTCTAAAAATTGTTTTCTTATACTGCCGTGGTTAATGAAAACGCCGTAACCAACAATTGTGCGATTTTTGTTTTACGGCATTTTCTACTAGAAAAATTCATCCTGCGTCTATCCCCGGTACTGAAAAAACCGTATCTATATATATACGGTTTTTTGAGTACCGGGGATAGACGCAGGATGAATTGTTCTAGTAGAAAATGCCGTAAAACGAAAATCGCACAATTGTTGGTTACGGCGTTTTCATTAAGCACGGCAGTATAATCTAACTTAAAGTAAGTATGCCGAGAGGTATGCACAAGTTTTGTCGTTAGAAGTATAAAAGCTTCAATTTAATTTGAACTTTATTCAACAATTATTTAGTATACCTATATTTATTTATGACCCTATTAACACACTCTTTCAAATAATCCACTTATTTATTTTGGTCAAAATAGATTTTTCTAACCTTAAAATACAAAATTAGATGATATTTTTTGTTCTTATACATTAACCTACCTTTGATACAGATATTCTTATTTCATAATAGAGAAGTTAGATTTTTTTTAATAAATGCTGTTTAGTTAAAACTATTTTATGGAGAGATGTAGACCCAATGCACAAAAATATCACTTATATTGCACCTTACACTTTGGAATTTCATTAAAAGCAGTATTTATATTCCTAAATTCTTAAACCAACCATTGTTATTGTGATACTATAAAGATTTATTAACTTTTAACGTTTAAACATAAGCGGTAACACTATAAATATTATTTCTTTCATTGACTATACTTTGACAGATACATAACCTGAAAAGCCTTAAATGCCAAATTTTCAAAAGACTGCGTTCCGTACGTGGTCACGTGGTGGGACTTTGAGGTGTGGAGCATAGTACTTAATGGTAGAAAATGTACCCTGATTCTCAAAAAATAAGCCAACATATAAGGTGCTAAAATATAAAAAGATTTGCTTTTTTTAATTATTAACAATAATTATAATAACAATTAATACAAAATGTAATGTTTTATGTAACCTAGCTTTTACATAAATATTTTATGCAGGGTGTTATTTGTAGGTAGTACTTTTTTGGAAACACCCTGTGTACATGTGATATTTTCGGTCCCGAATTATTAATTCGCCCTTTATACATATTAACGGCTTAGCGTTTTTTATAATACATTTTTTGTAATATAATGTGTTTTTTTTAACCTAGATTGTCAAAAATAAAAGTGAGTGAGTGATAGTAACAGATAAAATTTAGTAAAGGGTCATTTTAAGGGGTGGTGAATCCAGTGCCGTGCTTATATTTTGTTTAAAATAATCGCTAATATGAATTCTTTAAAATTTACTCTTAAAAACTAACATAGTAGGCCTTGTATTTTGAACTAATATGGCGTCTTTTGCTCCAAAAATACAGTTTATCAAAATCTACACTTTAAAACAAATCCGGTTAAAATCGTACAATAAATAAAGATTTTACAGGGGTGAGTCGTAAACAAATGGGTCACACTATATGCTTATGTATATTTATGTAAAAAATGTGATATATATTTCTCGAAATACATATTTTATAAGTACATGATAAGATATCTAAATATATGGTTAGATGTCTGACCTACATACATTTTTAATTGTATTTATTTTTAGTTAGTGTTCTCTTGGTATTATAAGCATATTTTTACATTTTTTTTGTAAAATATGTTTTATTAAGTGGCTTTACTTTGGTTGACATACGAAAATTGATTATAATTGCAACAATGATGGTGGTCCAGTTTAGGTATATCATCAGCTTACTAAAAAAATAAATACCTTCTACTCAAAAAGGAAGCAAAATTTGACCATATTTTATTTGACAAAATATATATTATATCCGCTAGTAAAATCCTATATAAATTTAAATACAATATAAACTGGGTATGTTAAACATAAACTTGACAACGCTGCGTTGTCTGCGTCACTTATGTTTACATAGTACTTAACCTCAACCAAGTGACTTAGATTAAGTTAAGTAAAGTTACTTACAACCTAAACATGATTTTCTACAGTAAAAACTAAATAAAAATGGAAGAAATTTCTGATGTTAAAGTGACAAAATACATTCCAACAATCTATACAAGGCCACGTACAGTGGAGTACATAAAAAATGGTACGCTTCGAAAAAGAAGCATAATGGCCGAAAAAAATGGTGTCGTTATTATTATCTACAACAAAACAAGAGATGTTTTGGTGTTGGTTAAACAGTTTAGACCGTCTGCGTATTTTTGTCAGGTAATATACAGTTTTTTTTATTAAATAGTGTAATAATAATGAAAAATTCTTACATCAGGTCAATGAAGATGATTTTTTATTAGACACCATAGATACTAAAAAGTACCCTCCGAAATTAGGTATAACTTTGGAATTTTGTGCCGGTCTGGTGGATAAAGATCTTTGCAATGAGGAGATAGCCATTGAAGAAATATTTGAAGAATGTGGATACAATGTGGAGATAAAGGATTTAGAAGAAATATGTACCATTTGCAATCTCACTGATACTACTGGAGCCAAATCGTTTTTTTATTATTGTGAGGTAAACGTTAAATTTTAAAATCTTGTAATCAATTAATTATAATTTTCAACTCAATTGCATATGCATTTATTTAGGTGACAGATGACATGAAAGTGTCAAACGGCGGTGGAGTGGAGGGGGAAAACATTGAGGTTATAGACATGAAGGTCGATGACGTAATACAATATGGCACACAAGATTACGTGCAAAGTCCTGCTTGTTTTTTATTCGGTTTAAACTGGTTTTTATACAACAAATATAGAAAATAAATGTGTATTACAATATAATTTCTATTGTTTTTTTATTATTTGTGGTTGGTAGTCGTGTTTAATGACTTTTGGAAGCAAATCTGCGTACATGTCCAATCGTTGGGTCATCTGAAATTTAAAAAAATGTCATGCTAAAATGGCGCAGTCGATAAGAGAAATTAACTTACTTGGAATCCCCAGTGATCTTTAACTTGTCTACATAAGTTCAAGTCTAACTGGGTGACTAATAATCCGTTTTCAGTTCTTGATAAACCCTAAAAAAAAAAAAAATATCCATGGATTGCAACACCAAAACAAAACACAAAGTGCTTAAAGTACTTTTCGCCAAGGAATAAGATAGAGAACACATTTTGCCTCACCTCAGATCTAGTCCCATTTGGGGCGGTAGCATAACTTGAACCATAAAAATGTCCGAAATCCTTATGGGCACTTTTTCCATCCCCTGAAGTAAATTCGTTTTTGAAAGTTTCTGTTCCAACTCTATTTATAGCGAAAGTATAGTAACCATTAGCAACAGCTGCATTTCTAGCTTCAATACCCCACAGTGGCTCACTCAGGGCGCCAACCTTAAAAAAGAAACTAAAATCTGGATGATTATTATTTTACAAAAACTTACAGTGGCAGATGGGTTAAAAACCATTTGGGCTCCATTGAGTCCAAATGCAAGCCAATTTAATGGGTGATGGCGACCATAACAAATGTTTATGGCGATTCTACCGAATTCAGTCTAAAAATATACATAACCACAATTCAAAAATATTCGTGTAATAACAATTGTTATTCACCTCAAAAACTGGATGCCCAGTATCTCCTTCAAAGTAATAAGTTGATTCATTGAAATCCCCAACCCTCGGTATATGATTTTTTCTGTGCTTCCCTAGATAATCACCATGGTTATCTATGACGACAGCAGTGTTCCATATGGTATCGTTACGAACTTCGTCCCTTTCCAAAATTGGAGATATTATCACCATGTTATACTTTTTGGCCAAAACGGCCAAAAATATGGTAGTTGGGCCATTTTGGGCCGATTCTGCGTATTCACACCAAGGTTGTTTTTCTCTTGTGCAAAATGCAAAAGGCATGTCTAAAAAGTTATGAATCAATAGGTACTTAGGTATAACTTTTTATTTCAAAAAAACAACCATTTATATTTAAAAATAAAAACAAAATAGTGTATCAAGTTTGATAAACGCCATTTTAGTCACGAATTTAATTTAGACACGAGCGAGTGCTTAATTAAATGAGTGCCTAAAAAAGTTTATAAGCAATTGCTATGCATATATTATCCAAAAAATTATTTAAATTAAGTATTTGTATAAAGTGACATCTGTCATGATGATTTAAAAAAACATACGAACTCCTAACCTCCGTGAAGCTATCTTCCGTGAAGCTCTAATATTCAAAATGTATGATTTCTTAAAATTCTTGCATTAGTGCAGAACCACTTATTATTACTAGACCTGGTGGCTTCCCAAAAACCCCATTTTTGACTAACAGTGAAACAACCAAAAATAAAAACTAATCATTTTCACTTAAGGCACATCTTAATATATTCACCCAATTGCAAATTATTATCACAAAGTAATACAAATTCTTACTTACAAAAATTGAGAAACTATTTAATACTTTATTAATATAATAAAATTTTCACATTTAGTATTATTTTACAAGAAAGGCACATTATTTTAACGATTGTATGACATTTGACAACTGTCAAATAACTTAAAACCAACTTCAACCCGTGACTAAAAACCTGTTGCTAACTTCAGCCAAAAAGCCAGAATGTGTAGGTATTTAAAAGGTCACTTAGTGTCATGAAAACATGTACCAAGGTGGGAGTAGAAAAATAGTATTAAAATACTCACTCCACGCTTCTTGGAGGCAAAAAACATTTACGCCAGCACCCGCAGCGACCTCTATGGCATTTGCTGCAATTTTAAACATAGCCTCTCTCATCTCCAATATATTTGCCCATGTTTCTCTAGGGGTTTTGTGCTGAAAAATTCCAACCCTGACTACTTTCGGTAACCGTGTTTGCTCTTTTTGACATTGAAACCCACATGTTTTTAATTCAATGTTGAATTGCTTCGCCAAATCGAGAGCATCTTTGGAAATAGTTAATTCGCTGAAAAAAATAAGTATTAAGTCGGGATGATTATATTTTCAAAAACTGTCAAATATACATGCGAAAAATGGTTGAAAATAACATTAAACAACAATTAATTGTTTTGCGAACCTACAGATATACAGTTGCCTCGCATATGAGCCGCACGAGTGAGTTCTAGATACGATGCATATGCATGCAAATTTGCAAAAATAAGTGCCTCACCATTATTATCTATTATTGGTATTATTGCTAAGTTCGTCGTTATTTAAATGAATGGTAAATGAATTTATTACCTTGAATAAATGTTTTAAACAAAAATATACTTACTAAGTATTTTTTCCATATAAAACATTTTTAATTGTATTTTTATCATCAATGGAAAGTTTTTCCAGAATGTGTTCAACACTTTTAAACTCAGTATTTTCACTCATTTTGAACTACTTATTCGACTGAACTTTCAACCGTGATAATTTTAAATTCTAAAAATACTTTCTAACTTTCACATATTATGTCTAATACAATACAATACATTTAATGTTTTAATTATTCTTAAATGAAGCACTTTTTAGTTCACCTATTGCATTTATTTTAGGATTATCAATAAGTTTATTTACAGAAAGATAAACAATGTCTTATTATTGTACGTGCAAATACGAGGTGTGTAGAAAGAGAAATAGGAATTTTTTTTTTATATTCGTCCACATCTTTTTTCAACAGCATAATAATTTTTGTAAGCCTATTTATAGACTTAATATTTGTATATTAAAATTACAAATTACGAAGAGTGGGTTCCATCTATCGCATTTAGCTCGAAATCAGTGTAGGAAACTGTAAAATTACAGGTCACTGGAAAAAATTCATGCACATAACCTAAAATGTCAAACGTCAACATTATCTACCCATGACCATAGAAAAACCATGACAAAATGTCGTTAAATGTGAATTTCAATGTAAGTACAGAATTATTAAACTTTTAAAAATTGTAAATAGAACAAATTGCTGCGAGCACTTGGCTCGGCTATAATATAAGCGCTTTTTAATATACGGGTGATTCTACAAAAGTTGGGCAACTTTTGACCTCATTTTGTTTATATAGTTTTCGGAGAAAATTAAACAGTATTTTGTTATGAGAACATAGATAATATAATAAATATACTGTTCCAGACCGGGCCAGTCACTTTTTCAAACAGTTTATAAAATATCTGTTTTCTAAATTTGAATGCAAGGGAAGTGACGAGTATACCAGGGTACTAATTAAATACATGATTTATTGGAAAATATAAAATTTATTGCAACTTTGAGCATATTATACATTAAATATCTTAAAATCAAATAATACCACACATCAGTGGCGGCTGGTGGATTTTGGGTATTCCGATATCTCAATTATTAGATATGGGACCCACACCAAATTTATATGAGTTTATAATGACATTAAATAAACAAGTTCTGCGCAAGCAGAATTTAAATTGAAGTTTGCGAAAAAAAGATAACCGAAACATCGAACATGGAACTGACGGAACGGATACAAATTTGAGATTATAATTCGGAATTAAGTATTTTACTGATATTTTTTATTAGTGGATGCTACTTTTCAACAAATCACATATAGCCTTATATAAATTACAATGAAATATATTTACGTACACTCTTAAAAATGGGTTGGTCATGAGAACTAATTTTTAGTGCTCATAACTTATTTGGTCCCAACTAACAAATTATTTGGTCCCAACTGACAAATTATTTGGTCCCAACTGACAAATTAGTTCTAACCTGGGGATAATGCTTAGTTAGAGAAACTAAATAATACGTTTAGTGCACGTTAGTTGTGAAAGACAAAAAATCAGTTGCTACCATTTTTTGTTAGCTCTCGCTACTAAATTTTCTTTTCAAGCAACTAATGCAGTTAAAAAATTTTAATCAGTTTTTACAACTAATTTTTTTAGAACTAATTTGTCAGTTGGGACCATATAAGTTATAACTTATAACTTAATTATAATTATGAGCACTAAAAATAAGTTCTCATGACCAACCCATTTTTAAGAGTGTAAGAAAATAACAACTCATCACAGTACTGAAATTTTGACTGGAACTATACGTGCATTCACCACAACTTCGCCGCTTGCGTTGTTTTCAAGATGACTGTCGTGCAAAGGGCGGGCTCTGTATACATACCTATAGGTAATTTTTTACCAACACTCGATAAAACGAGGACTTGACGTTTAAACTTCAATATTTCGCAGGAATTTTGAATTTTAACATTGGACACAGAACTGACGGGTAAAAGTGAGTAAGGTAAAGGCACCAGTAATTGCCACTGTACCAGTAGTTGCCATTTATTATTTAGAAATTCAAAAACAAAGCTATATGTAATATCTGTGCATATGGCGCACTGCCTATGTGTAAGGAAGTGTATCTATAGATACACTTCCTTACACATAGGCAGTGCTATAGCGTATTATGTATTTAGAACAACTGTCACCAGGTGGCGCATTTTTCGACAGGAAAAACATATTCAGGCAACTTGTTGAATCAACTGTTTATAAAAGATTTCTTGTGACTTTGGTTAAGAAAGTGTAAGATTAGTTTTTCGTGATATTGGCATATGTTGTTAATCAATTTGAGTTTTGTTTGTGCAATAGGCATATATGCTAAGTAGTTTAAATGAAACGCATATAAATTGTTCGTTAAATTAAAAGAGTATTTTGATTTATACTATATAGAGTAGTGGCAAATACTGGAGCATTTTTTTTCTTTTAACTCAATATTTGCCATTTGTGGTAATTAGCTACTGGAGAATTTTGGATTATCGTATTACCTTTATTAAAGCTCTAAACTAACCTATAATATTTAGTTTATACTTGACATTAATAAGAACATTTTATTCAAAGAGAATCCAGTAATTTCCACCTCTTTTTGAATGTGTCAATTACTGGTTCACTTTAGTGGCAATTATTGATCCAGGTATAAAATCCAAATTGATCAACATGGAACCACAAAACTATTCCCAAGAAAGTAAAGAATCTGCATTGGCTGCTTGCCAAGGTGGTATGCCATTTTCCATTTTTTTGTTTTATTTAATAAAATAAATTAGTGGCAATTACTGGCCAGGTACACTGGCAACTACTGGTTTTTTAAAAAATGGTCATGGCAATTACTAGTCCTCTATACCTCAATAAAAAAAAATATATTGTACTTAGTTATGTCTTTAATTTTTAATGTTTGGTAATATAGTGACCTTCTATAAGTATCTATAGATAGATTTCGTCCTAATAAAAAGCCATGGTGGTTAATATATTAACCACCATGGCTTTTTATTAGGACGAAATCTAAATTTCTTCTGGTACTTTTTTAGCTTTTTGTGTAAACACTAGCTTATAATGGCAATTACTGGTGTCATTACAAAGATTATTAATTTTTTAAAAATTGCTATTATTCGAATCTATGATATAATATGAAAAATACATTATTTAATGTTTTATAGTTTGTAGTGAAATTGAAAAATTTAAGATAAGTTGAATATATTTTAAAATAAAATTACTGATTCAGGAATTGTGACACGCCAAGGTACTGATTTTTGAATATTCATTATGTTTTTCTACAAACGTGCTTTTGAAAAAATACATTAAAATCGCTTAAGCAATTTAGAAAAAACTGAATTCAGTTCGCGTTACTTTTCAAACACACCTTGTACATACAGGAGTCAACAAGAAAATTAAAAAAATAATTTTAAAGAGCTTTATTATTTTAACAAAAAAGTGCTTATTATAAATATTATTGTTTTTTATTTAAAATAATATCACAAATTTTAGGCAGCTAGGAATGTTAATATACAGGGTGTATTAAAAATAATACACATTTGGCAAAAATTGCTCTTTAACTATTTGAACTATCTTTTTCTACTCTGTTTATTCCGGTTTGAATTTCCTTAAACTAACATCCAGCAGATCATCCACCATGTTATCTATGGGATGTATTATAAATGGTATAGTCACCAAACCAATTGCAGTAACGAGGTATTTTCTGTTATTCTTCGGCAGCTTTTCCACTTTTTTTAACAAATAATTCGATGTCGCACACACTCTATTTATCGTAACGCCCGGTATAATCACCGAAGCTAAAAATTGCCATATTAACGTGTCAGCTGTGGTGAATATCACTTTTTTCACGTGATTTTTTTCGTCGAAATGTGTCTAAAAACAAACCCTCGTATAGTGCCCCTGTAGTTAGGCAACCGAGATACCACGATTGTGTACCGTTGTTGCATAAGCACAAAAAATCAATGTAATAAAATTGGTGATTATATTTTCTATTAATTAAACAAATACCTTGTGGGCTTGTATACTTTTATCCGTCGTGTCAGCAAGGACGTATAAACTGGCGATTCCATATGTTACATTGACTAATTTTGAGCCCAAAAAGGCTCTAAAAGCCTCCCCCAGTTCATTGGCGTACCCTATAATTATTGGTGGTTTAAAAGTGTACATTATTGTTTATTGTGTGTTTTTTATATTTACCTAGATACCTAACGGGCGTTTCTCTGTATAAATCGGTTTTTTTCGCGTTTTCCATCGTGAATTCAATTGAGGCACTCTCATTGACCTTGTCAATTTTAAACTGTGTGTTTATGTCGTATTGTCCATGTTACTTAGGATTTAAATTGTTTGTTTTGAAGTTTAAGAATAAAAACGTGTGTTTTTTGTGATTTTGACTTTTTTAGTTGATATTTGAGTGTGTAAGCGTTTGAGGTTTTTTATTAGTGTTTAGTAATGTTTATACTCATCGGCCTGTTGGTCTAGGGGTATGATTCTCGCTTCGGGTGCGAGAGGTCCCGGGTTCAATTCCCGGACAGGCCCAATACCTTTTTTTCTTGTATAATTAATATTCTTCCAATTTTTAGTTAGTAGTAAGACTTTAGAATATAGTTTTTTAGGAGTAAATTTTTAAGAATTCAAGTTATCCATGTAAAATCATTGAAATAAAATTAAACTTTTAGTAATAGTACCATTTTACTATTAGTTTAATTTTATTTCAATATTTTTACATGGATAACTTGACAAAATAAATTTTTGTAGCTATTATTGTGCATTTTCTACTTAAAATTTTTCAATAAAATTTAGTAAAGTCGTTTTGAGGGGTGGTAAATCCAGTGCCGTGCTTAGATTTTGTTTAAAAATTCTTAAAAATTTACTCTTAAAAACTGACACAGTACTAATATGGCGTTTTTTGTTCCAAAAATACAGTTTATCAAAACAAATCCGATTAAAATCGCACAATAAATAAAGATTTTACAGGGGTGAGTCGCAAACAAATGGGTCACACTGTATAATATTGTTCCAATTTTTAATTAGTAAAACTTTAGAATATAGTTTTTTTATTTTTTTTATATTCTTCAAATTTTTAATTAGTATACTTTTATAAAACTTTAGATTATAGTTTTTCTTTTACGATTTTACCTTATTTAATTTTTTTTCTTATAATATTATTCCAATTTTTAATTAGTAAAACTTTAGATTATAGTTTTTCTTTTACGATTTTACCTTATTTAATTTTTTTTCTTATATAATATTGTTCCAATTTTTATTTAGTAAAACTTTAGATTATAGTTTTTCTTTTACGATTTCACATATAGGTAGGTATTTGGTATTATTTTGTATTAATATTTTTTTTTATTTTTTTTTACATAATATTGTTCCAACTTTTAATTAGTAAAACTTTTTTCTGTTTTAGTGGTGTTATTTTGTTGAATATATTTTTAATATTTTTAGATTTATATTTAGAAGTCTCCACCCCATATGTATACCATAAGGATGAGAAAACAGTTTTTTGTGCTAAGCTCATTTAGCTCAAGCTGAACGGCATCCAATTTTTTATCTTCAAGGCACAATTTTATTTGTTAAACGATATATCGTATATATATATATATATATATATATATTTATATGTATACATAAAACATGCAATTTATAGAATTTATAGAATAATAATTATTATTAAAAGTAGGGAGTGATGTTAGGTAGATCTGACATTAGTCCAATTTTTTTATTTGTTTAAGCATTTTTTGGTCCAAATTATTTTTACAGCCTGGGCCAAATTAATCATTTTTAAGTAAATTTAGTATACTGTCGCTATAATGGGTGTTGACAATATTAAAGTTTAAATTACAGAAGTCTGGAAGATAATATTTTACTTGTTTACAGACGTATTAAAATATCAAACCTATATAATTATTAATTAAAAAATAAAATTCACAAAAATATTTTTAATGCGGCTGAAGGACCTAGGTCAATGGCCATTTGTAAAAATTTTAAAAACAATATTTTCTTTTTTGCAAAAAAGCTCATTTATTATTATTTTTAATGGGTAGGTACTGCAAAACAAATATTTTTATTTATAATATTTTATTTAATTTTGATTTACTTTTTTTCAATTTAGTTTTTCTTTAAATTTTTACCATGGTCACACGTTTAGAGGGAGGGGGTTTATTTATACAGGGTGTCCCGAAAATAGTGCGCAATACTCTAAACGTGGTTTATAAAGACAAAAATAACAACAAAATTTCAAACAAATAAGTGTATTTTTTGTGCAATTTTTTTAAAAGTTGGCTGCAGAATATAAAAAGAATTTTCCACGTAAAATAAAATAACAAATTGTCCATTTTTTTTATTAATTTAATATTTAACAAGAAATTTTAATAAAAAAATACGTAGATATGTTTCCTGAAAATATATTTTTTTATTTCAAATCGTTTGGTAAATAGTAATAATAAAACATATTTAGTGGCCCCTTTAAGAGGCTGTGGGTCCCTTAGGGGCCATTTGCCAACCTATGTTCATATAGATTTATTTATATTTTTAGCCCTAAAAACACCCTGTATAATATAAATAAACCAATTATAAACTTATTAAACATTTTAGTAATAGTTTAATACAAATATTTGTTTATTTATTTATATTTTAATTTAGTGATTTTAGGTTGTCTTCTTATAGGTAATTACCATTTTTTTTAACAATAAAGAAACTTGTTTTAATATATTACGTTATATTAAGATTAATAGTATTGATATGTATCAAGTTTGATAAACGCCATTTTAGTCACGAATTTAATTTAGGTACGAGGGAGCTTGCGAGCGAGTGCTTAATTAAATGAGTGACTAGAAAAGTTTATAAACGAGTTGCATACTATACTTTTTCTACGACAAATACTTAATATTATCTAAAAAATGATTTAAATTAAATATTTGTATAAAGCGACATCTATAAGAAAATAAAGTAACAAACCCAATAAACATTTTTGACGTAATTTTCACCATTAACATTGCCCGTTATTATTTTCATTAAACTTAACAATTATTGCTACTTTAAAATAACTTTAAAATATGATTATGTTAAGAAAATATTTTATCCTTGGATTTATTAAGTATAAAAATTTTTACACGGGAAATGTTACAGGTACAAAAAGTGACAGTTGTATTTATTGGAATTCCCGTTAGAATTTCTAACTTGGGAATCTACCGTCGTTAAAATCTCAAATTTGTCGGTGTAATCAAAATTTGTCCCTTAAAAATACACTAAGAATCCATATAGAACAGTTTTTTTACAGTAAAAGAGAAGAGAATGTTTTATGGGCACTGTACGCAAAATTTTTAAATCTTGGCGATTATAATTTTTTTTAAGGTTCTCTACAGCGTTTTTAAGTTTTTTCTTAAGATTTAGAATTTTAGGAAATGTTGGGGCAAAAATAAGGCGGTTTTAATTTCAACACATATATTTCGAAAACAAAAATACAAATAATGGGAGAAATAGATACAAAATCATTTTATAAAATAACCCGCATTTTACAATTGAAAAAAAGCAATTTTAGCAGTCTCACGGTTGTAATTTGAAGTAAGTACAAGAAAAACAAACTCGTCTTTAATTTTTGAGCAATATACATTTAAATTGGGAAACACTTGTATAATTTACGATATATTTCGAGAAAATGCAAATTTAAGCCTCTTCTTCGTTTGGCAGTTGAATGTATGAGCTATCAGTTTTTTTGTTCACTAAATTAAGCAACATTTTCAAAACAATAGCTGCAAACAAAACAAAAATGACCATGCCAAAAATGTATATGTAAAAAGGTTGTAAGTACCAATTTGTACCATCATTGGAGCATGCTTGTTCCCACTGAGATAAAGGCAATGCGACTGGCGACATAATCTGGACAAACATTTTGAAGTTGCAGTTAAAACTGCAAGTTTTGAGGGTCATGTTTTGAGGTTCAGTGGAATTTTTGTAGAATATATTCAGGTAGTTTGTGCTGTTGTTGCCTCTCAACTCGAAAATGACGGTGCTCGCATATGGGGGAGAGTGGTACTCGAAAAGCCCCATGGAGTTCAATAGGTTGGCAATGGTGGTGTCATGGGCCGAATAGACCATCATTTTTTTAGATTCGCTTTGGTCGATTCTCGATTGAAAGTAGTTTATAATTTGGTCGAATAGAGGGCCGCTTTTGAGTCTTGCCAACTCCGGGGTGTAAGTTTGAGTGGCAAAACTCAAAAACGCTAGAGGTTCCATTTTTTTGAACGCCGATTGTGCCCATGTTGGTAAAGTGTAGTTGAAGAAGGTCTCTATTAAAAGAGTGTTGTATAAATACTCCAGCTTTTCCAGCGTTGTCACTTTATTGCCCGATTTGACGGTCAAATAGGCGAACAAATCGTGGTACTTTCTCGATATGTTTCTGAAGTATGGCGTTTTGAATAAAGCATTACGCAGTTCAGTGTATTTAGCGCACTCTTTCTTTCCCGCCAAAAGGGCGTCCATTTTTTCCGGGATCGTGTGTATCGGTATCGGTTGCCACGTCAGGTTTTTGTCAAATTTTTGGCTAGCCATTGGAGGGTATAAACCTGCTAGGTTGGCCTCTGCACTCATAAGAGTTCTGTCAACATCTGTAGATTGAATGTGGATATCATTCGCGTTGTAAATTTCAGGTAGATAATTTTTATAACGGTTCCTAAGCCATCTACCTAGCTCCAGGTGCCTCAATTTACCTTTCTAAAATACAAAAGAATTTTTAAATAAATACTTTTTATGGCAACAATAACAAACTATCAATTCAATGTTAAAATAACCAAAACAAAATATACTTTGTGGAAGTAATAAAATGTTTATTTATTTTTATTAGTTTAATATAACATTTACTGAGATTACGTTTTAACAGAAATTTATAAAGTTAAATTTTCTCAAAACTCAAAACAATTGATAGTCAAAAATATTTTAAATATACAACAGTAAAAATTTATGTTTAAAAATATTGATTTTTAAAAGTTTTGGTTGTAATATTTTATTCTAAAAAATTAAAAATCATTTAAATGATAGTTGATAAATTTTTAATACAAAAATTCTCACATTACATTAAATGTAAGTTTTAAATTTTAAAGTAGTAATTTTTGGATTAAAAATTTTTCGACTATCATTTAAATGACTTTTGCAAATTTAAACCAAAATTTTTTATTTTTAACAATTTTAAAGTGATATATTTTTAAGACAAAATTTATAACTTTACATTTAAATGTAAGTCGATAATTTTTAAATTACAAAGTGTAAACGTAGCTTTAGTAGAAGGCACAAGAGTCTGGGATCGGAGCCACGATGCAGCCAGTTTGATCCGTTGATGTTTTTTAAAAATGTTGTTCTATTATTAAATTTATGTAATAAAGAAACATTTTATTACGATAATTTGTAAAACGCGTCAAATATATGGAGCAAGCACGATTTGGCAACACACTTTAATAAATGTTAAAACTGCGTGCCATATATTATACAGGGTGTTTCAATAAAAACTTCCAGGCCAATTATTTCGAAAACTAAAAGTGACATTTAAATTCTGTAAACGTCAGTTTTTAGCCTCTATGATTGCCTTCACAACTGTGTAAAAAATGTGTTTGAATAATACAAGATGTGCAAAGAATTTTTTCGATGGCAGGTACTTTTAAATTAATTTTTGATCAAATTATGTCCCATGAAATTTTTGAAATTTTTTCGATATGAACCGAGATATTTGAGGTTAAATTTTTTAATTTTAAGGAGTATTTTAATTATAAATATTTTTAATATCCTTTAGCAGATGTTCACTTAATTCTGGTAATGATAATTTTAGTGATAAAACGCTCGTGTAGCGCTAACTAGATTAAAATTATTACGCCCCTTAGCAAATAATATTGGCAAAAAATAATACGCCACTGAGTGTCTGGTAATTTTTATATTTTTTTCGGATTATGCAACTAAAATACTATGTGGTTTCATCAAGACGGTGCGGCACCGTCGGTGCCTCAGCACACAATAGCAATATCGTTATGAATCATCTAAATGACGTTTCCAGGAAAAGTGATCAGCACAAATGGGGATCTTAGATGGACTTTTATTTATGGGTCGGCTTACAAAATGAAGTCTACAAGGAACCAATAGAAGACAGGGCTGACCTGTACAACAAAATCTATATACATATGTTACTATAGCCGCTATTAATCGAAATACACTAATGAGAGTTTGCAGAACCGAATTATTATATCGATTTTCTATGTGTGTATAAAAACGGCAATAATTTTGAACACCTTTTTTTCTAGTTTTTTTTTCATGTTTTTTTCACATCTGATAAAAACCGTTTTTTTACTTCTCTAGTCACAGGACGTAATAATTTTAATCTAATCTAGTTAGCTACACGAGCGTTTTATCACTATAATTATCAAAGCATATTAAAAATATTTATAGTTAAAATACTTACTCGTTAAAATTATTAAAAAAAAACTTAACCCCAAATATCTCCTTTTATGTTGAATTTATCAAAAATTTGCATGGGGCATAATTTGATCAAAAATTAATTTAAAAGTTCCTGTCATCAAAAAAATTATTTGCACAGTGACGCCACCTACATCTTGTATTATTCAAACAAATTTTTACACAGTTGTGAAGCCAATCATTGAGGCTAAAAATTGGCGTTTACAGAATTTAAATGTCACTTTTAGTTTTGAAATTATTGGCCTGGGAGTTTTTATTGAAACACCCTGTATTAATAAAGCTTAAAAATGTAAAAAAAATCCATGAAAATACAGAAATTAAACTTAATAATAATCAAAAAATAAGCGCCAAAAACTATTTTGTATTCTTTGATACAAATTGTAAGAAAACTGAATGACCTTTGATCTATAAAATAAATTATCTAAAGGGAAATAAAAACAAAATTAAAAATAGATCCTGTCATAAAAGATAAGTAACTGATAAAATACGTAATTATCAATTTTACTTCCGGGAATTCTTCAGTGTCTACAGAGCATTCTATACATAACATATACCAATCATACAAAATCATGTAAATTTTACTTTTTTGAATACTCCCAGAAATAATAAAGTAATAACGATTTTTTTTAATTAGTTCAGAAGTGTGAATTGTAGTATCATGGTAATAAAATATTCTTACATTTATGAGTTGTCCAAACCCAACGGGCCAGTATGAAGAATTTCTGTATGGATCATTTGGATATGGATCTACAGGAGTTCTATCACCATGTCTGTATATCTAAAAAAATAAAAAAAAATTTAAAATATAAACTTTATCAAAAAATTTTGCTGTTAACATAGTTTATTTTGTCGATAAGGATTATTAAAGCAAGTATTTTACAATGATAATGATGAACAATAGTAGTATTTGCATTTTTCAATGCTTAAAAAGCAAATTTTAAAAATAAAACTACACAATAAGTTAATTTTACAAATCCAGCATATTTTAAGGTTAAAAACAACAAAATTCAAATATAAACACATTAAATTTTATACATACCACAACAACGCCTTTTAATTCATCCCCAAAAGACCCAAAAATCAAAAAATTAAGTACCAATATAAATATAAACGCCATTTCAGTACTAAATCAACAAAAACACCCCCAGCAGCAATAAAATTACTAAAACCTAACGTTCACAGCCCAAAATTCAAAAAACCAGCCACATTTTTAAATCGACTTCTTATCACATCAGTTATTTACAAACATATGGCATTTATATTTACAAATTCGTCGATTATAACCTCAAAACGGTTGGACAGCTGAACGCCATCTATTGTAAGTTTTTATCGTTGCGTGTACATTTGAACTACTAAGATGCGGCATACGAGGGTTGATCAATATATTACGCATTTTTTATATCAAGTAACTTTGAAAATAGCGTTATCTTGTTTATTAAAATAAATGACACTCTTGAAATTTTTTTTATTGCAATATTTTAACTGATAATTATGTAAATGTAAATACATGGTAAAATAAGAAAATAGTTTTGTAGAAAATTTATTTGTTTATAACTTTCTCTCATAAAACTTTTGGTATATTTTTACAAATAATAAACATTAGGCTAATATAAGTACGTATTTCAATTGTGAAATTTTATTATAGACTTAATAATATTAAATATTATCTTATATTGTAAATTTATAGTTTTGCAAGTCTAAATCAAAAACTAATAGACAAAGCCTTATCAATATGTAAATATATTTTTTTCTAGACATAAAGGTATAAAACCAAAATTTCTGATACATTTTACATTGTAACACTACAATCGACTTGAATATTTTTGCAAAGATGTATTTGGGTTGGCTTTTGGTAATTTTTTGCCAATGTCTTGTTGTCTTTTCGCACGAAAATGACACTTTGGTGGCAGTACAAATGGTAAGGGCTTTTTTTATTTTATTAAAAAATATGAACAACCCTTTATAATCTCCTAATATCTATGGATTTGAATGAAATTTTTACGGTATATTAAGGAAGTTACGACTATTCTAAAATAATATTACTTTTTAAATGCCGCATTTAGCGTTAGTGCTACAACGGTTCAAGTCAAATTTGTCGGTTTTTACTTAACAGTGTTAAGTTAACACAATGTAACTTTTTTGACGGCTTAAAAAACGCCATCAAATTTTTGAATCCCTGTTTAAAATCGTATTGTTCAATAAAATTAAATAATGTTTGTAAAAGTTGTCAAGCCTTTTTTAACCAAAGAAAATTTGAGGGGTATGTTTATAAAACTTAAGACGCTATAATTTCTACAAAAATGGAGCAATTTTAACCAAATTTATAGAGTTTATTGTTATTTTTAGTTTTGTAATATTTTTAAACATCCAACTAAAATTGTAAAAGTTACAGGGCGTTAACCCTGCAAATTTGATTTTAAGAATCTTCTAAGAAGATATGATCCGGAATAATGGAATATTCTTAGAACCTTCCCTTATTGTTAAGAATGTTATTAGGGACTTTTAATGATGCAATTAGATTCTTAAAAGCTTCTTAAAACCTTCCTAAAAAGCATCCTAAGAACATTTTAAGAATACGTTTTTGGAATGTTCTTAAAAGGTTTCTTATGGAGCTTCTATAGGAAGCTTTTGAGAATATTTCCAAATATGTTAGATTCCCACGTTCTAATAACATATTATGTTGTATTCTACGTATTCGACAAATACGCCTCACTATCATAATATGACAGTGAAATGTATTTGTCATCTATGATTTGTCGTCCCCTTAAAAAATTTTGCGACATATTAATATATATTTATTTAAAAATATTAAATAAACAATTTGGCCTCTAAACCATAAGTTGTATGAAAAATTTGTGGAATAAGTCAGATTAGATTGAAGTTGAAGATAGTTAGGATTATTATATATTAACACTTTTATGTATACATAAAAGTGTTAATTCAGAAATAAAAAATCGGTATACAAATTAATAAATATTTATTTTTAACATTAAATAAAATACCTATAATAAAAGTATTTTTGTTATCGAATATTGTTTTAATTTGACAAATAACTATAAAAAATATTTTGGATTGTGTTTTTTTTAGTATTTAATACTAATTACTAATTAGGTACTTAAGTATAGGTAGGTATATACCTTTATACGTAGTTTATGGTATATTTTACTATTATATAGGTAACTGAACTAAATATGCTTAACAGAAATATTCCTAAATGAACTTTCTGTAGAAATGACTTTCTTAACATTCTAAGCAATATATATGTTTAGAGTAGACTAATTTTTACCACTAAAACTTTGCACCTTCTAAGAACCTGCCTATAGGCCAGTATGAATATTCTTAGGATCATGCTTTATTTCTTTTAAGCATGTTCTTTATAAGAAATATAACATGATCCTAAGAATATTCTCACTGGAAGCTTTAAAAACCATTCTTAGAATAAAGTGTGCTATCATTTTCGAAAAAAAAAATACTCAATCAACTTGCTGTAACTTTTTTACTATTTCCCCAAACTTAACAAAATTTTCTGGGTATACTAAGGAAAATACACTTTTTTTAATAAGAATAAAAATTTTAGAATACAACAATTTTTGATAGCTTTACAGGCATGGAGATAGAACTCCCGTAATAGTCTACCCAAATGACCCCTACAAAGATTTTGTATATCGAGAAACAGGCCCTGGTCAGCTCACTAACGTAAGTTTAGAGCCATATAAACATTTCCTAACATTAATTAACCATAATTTCAACTTTAGAAAGGCAAAGAAAGGCAATACAAGCTCGGACAGTGGTTGAGAAATCGTTACAACGGTTTTCTGCCATCGAAATATTCAAACAGCGATATCAAAATTTTTACTGACGATGAGGATCGTTGCTTCATGTCGGCCATGTCAAATTTGGCCGGCCTATACCCTCCAAAGGGTCAACAAATTTGGAATAAGGACATTAAATGGCAACCCATACCAGTAAGGTTTAATTTAACTCTACATGTCCCTGATAATTGTCCTGTATATACAAAGTTATACCAGGAAGCGCAAGAAGAAGAGTTTAAAAAAATTAAGGGTAAAAATGAGGATCTACTGGAATATATAAGCAAAAATAGTGGTCGCAATATCACAGGTAATATTTGTATTACATTGAAGTTATATTTAATAGACTGGGCCAAAAAAATCGACTATTTTTTTTTTGTTAAGTAGGTATATCGAAAATATTGTTTGGGGTGAAAGTTTGAGTCCATAATATTAGTATTAAGAGGTCTATCATCGCAATTTTAGATTTTTTTTCCTGAGCGAGTTTTTATCTCAGAACTCCCAAATCATTGAGTTTAACAAAATTGACTTAAGAATATTTTTTGAAGAATATATTTGCGATAAACTTTTCAAAAAAAAATAGTTGATTTTTTTGGCCCAGTCTAATATTTAACATATCTTTTATAATTTTAGACTTTTATGGGCTTATGACTATTAACGACCCCTTGAATTGCGAACATTTACTGGGTTTAAAACTCCCAGAATGGACTGACGCTTACTACCCCGAACCTTCGCAACAATGGGGGGCTATATTCATGGGGTTGGGGGTGCATTCCGGAAAGTTGGCCCGTTTTACAGTAGGTCCAATTCTGCAAAACATTTTGGAACATTTCGAAAACATTAAGGAAAAAATGATCATGTATTCGTCGCATGATAATTCTCTGGCCCAGTTAGTGTACTCCCTACACCCTAGCTACCCCAAATTTTTGCCCGAATTCGCTTCAGTTGCAATCTTGGAGCTGTGGCAAAATAAAAACGGAAAATATGTCAAGTTTACGTTGAAGAGGAACAACAACATCGAGGAATTAAACATAAAAAATTGCGGTTTAAAATGTAGTTTGAATAAATTCAAGGCATTAGTAAAACCTCTTGCCGCAAGTTTGGAAAAAAGAGAGCAATTGTGCTAAGGTCGAGAAAATGATTTTTTTATTTGCCACATTAAGCAAAATAATTGTCATTTTTAAAATCAGACTAACTACACGGAACAATAAATATTGGCAAACATTTAACAATGTGTTTTTTTAGACACCCTTTACACCCTTTCCGAGTAACTCTATAAACAAATTAATACATGCATTTTACACTTGAAAATGACAACTTTGGTGATATGTTAAACAAATATTCTAAATATTTCCAACACCTAAACAAAACACCAAAATGTCTATCCCTCCTGTCCTACCTCTTTCATGACCCTGCTGGGCGTATAGCATCGGCCCGGCGAACCCGGGAATGGCTATTAAAACTATTGGCATTTCGCTCTCGAGCCCTAAATAGGGGACAGAAAATCGGCGAACGGAAACAGAGTTATAAGTGAAATTATTTGATAAAAAAATACTGTCTTGTTTTTCATTGTTTGAAAATTAGTTTGTAAGATATAAAGTAAATATATGTAGAAAATGTTTCATTTAATTAAATACCTATTTACAATAAGCGACTATTAATGTTAAAAAAGGTTTTCTTTGGTGGTAACAAAAATACTTTCGTTTTAGATTTTTAATTTTTTTAACAAGCAATAAAAAAGTAAAAGTAACAGAGCCAAATTTATAATTAAAAAAAATTGAATTGAACTCAATGTCACTATTTTATTTATACCCCAAATTAAAAAAAATGTGTATCTACTGTAAAACTGTATACCGAAAAATAAACAAATTACGAGTAGAAAAATTTCCATATCAGGTACTAAATCGAAGTTTGTGAACAAAACTTCCCTGGGGGATTTTTGTTAGGGGCTGGGAATTATTCAGAAAAATCCGAGCAACATTTTTGTTATAGAGTTAAAGTCGTTATGGTTCATTAGGGGGTGAATGTAAATTTTGAGAAATAAATACAATTTAAAAAAAAAATAGGTTTTTTAATAAGTGGGCATCATTATGCTCATTTTGGGGTGGAAAAGGGGGGGCATTTCCAAAAATACTTTTTATAAATTATCTTTAATATGTAGGTATTTTAATGTGAAATATTATCTTAAATATTATCATAAATTAAAATTTATAAATTTGCAAGTCTGAACCTAAAACTAATAGGTAAAGCCTTAAATTCATCCATATGTAAATACTTTTTTCTCGACGAAACAGTATAAAACCAAAATTTCTGATACATTTTACATTGTAGATAACACTACAATCGTCTTGAACATTTTTGCAAAGATGTATTTGGGTTGGCTTTTGGTAGTTTTTTGTCAGTGTCTTATTGTCTTTTCGAAAGAAAATGACACTTTGGTGGCAGTACAAATGGTACGTAGTTTTTTATTTTATTAAAATAGTATATTTAACACCAAAGAAAATCATTTTTTCTTCTTTAACATTAACAGCCGCTTATTGTAAATAAGTAAATTAAGGACGGCATGGCGAATAGATTTTGACATTAACTGTCAAACCAATGACTGTGATACCAACTATCTAAAGCAAAATTCGACCAAATTAAATTTAAGGCATAAAATTATTTTTTGTCGCACTCGTCCATTAAATAAATTGTCTGCGTGCGACAAAATGACGTCTTATGACATTAGTTCTTTAATATTCTATTAAACCCCTGTAACTTTCTTATTAATACACGAAATTGTACAAATTATTCTGGATATTATAATTAAAATATGCTGTTGTTGCAATAATTTTTTTTTATATAGCTTTACAGGCATGGAGATAGAACACCAATGGCAGTCTATCCAAATGACCCTAACAAAAAATTAGTATACCGCGAAACAAGCTCAGCTCAACTCACCAACGTAAGTTTTGAACCATAAAAACATTTCATAGCATTAATAAACCATAATTTCAACTTTAGAAAGGCAAAGAAAGGCAATACAAGCTCGGACAATGGTTGAGAAAACGTTACAACGGGTTTCTTCCATCGAAATATTCAAACTCCGATATCAAAATTTTGACTGACGACGAAGACCGTTGTTTTATGTCGGCCATGTCGAATTTGGCCGGCCTATACCCTCCAAAGGGTCAACAAATTTGGAATAAGGACATTAAATGGCAACCCATACCAGTCAGGTTTAATTTAAGTTTGCAAACCCCTGAAAATTGTCCAGTATATGAAGATTTATCCAATAAGGCAGAGCTAGAGCTGTTTGAAGATATTTGCTCTCAACATGGAGATATACTGGAATATTTGGCTGAGAAAACAGGAGCAGAGATTAATGGTAGGATTCTCTACAGGGTGTTATGTAATTAATGTTATATATTAAAATACTGAATACCTTTTGACATAAGGAATAAAGGAAAAAAAATTAAAAAAACATTTTTCCAAAGATAAAGAAAAAATATGCATTAGAAGTTTTTTTTTGTGATACGCCACTGGTTATACACTTGGTTTATCTCTGCACACTTGTATTTTGTGAGTACATAGATACCAACCAACAAAGTAGCTATGCGTTGCCAGATGTAAAAAATTGTTACTAAAAATTTTTCTTGCAAAAAATAAATAAAAACTCAATAAATACAAAAGTTTTATGCCCTTAAAGCTCTAATACCCTTCTGTATTTATTTACTGATTCAGCTATTAGCTTAAGCAATGATTAGAAAATTTAGTACCTTTGAAATTTGAAATCCATAACCACAAAATTAATTTTTTCATCAGTTTTTTTCTCTGTTTACTCAGATGAAATTGGGACCAGTTTACAGGTTAAACTTTAAACATTTAATTTGTGTAAATAAATCCAAAAGTACTTCCCTTAGTTAGATATTTACAATTTGAAAACATAACCTAAAATTTGAAAGAAATGCACTAGATTCTGTCATAAAAGTTGGCAGATTTTGTTTGAATTTACCTTCAGTACAAAAATGACATAACCAACAATTAATAAAAACGCCAAATTGACAATTTGCATTGTTAATTTTGTCATTTTTGTAATTAAGCTAAATTTAAACAATGTTTGTCAACTTTTTTGAGAGATTTTGGAAACACTGTTGTTACCAACCATAACATAATAAATCCACCAGATTAACCTAAAGTTCCTAGTCGATCAGTGGCGTACTTTTTGGTAGGATAAAGGTTATTATAAATTATTTTTAGACTTTGGAATTTAGAAAAAAAAGTTTCAGGGCTTCTTTATGGACCCTAATGAACAACCCATTTTAATATATAACATTAATTACATAACACCATGTATATTTATTTATGTTTCTTTAATATTACTTTCTATATTTTTAGACATGGCCACGTTAGTTTACACTATTATAGACCCTTTAAAATGTGAAGAAGCCCAAGGTTTAAAACTCCCAAAATGGACTGACACCGTGTATCCTAAACCTTTAGTAGATTGGGTGTCTTTATATTATAGTTTAGGTACATCATCCTCAAAACTTGCCCAATTCAGAATAGGACCAGTTTTCCAAAGCATTTTGGACCATTTCGAAAATGTTAACGAAAAAGTTATAATGTACTCATCACATGATAGTTCACTTGTTGATATAGTATACACATTGCAACCTAATCACCCCAAATTTTGGCCCGAATTTGCTTCAGTTGTTATCTTAGAACTGTGGCAAAATAAAGATGAGGAGTATGTCAAATTGACGTTGAAACGGGACAATACCATCGAGGAAATTAACATTGACCAATGCGGCGTAAAATGTAATTTAGAAAAATTCAAGAAATTAGTGGAACCTGTTGCCTTAACTTTAGAAAAAAGGCAACAACTTTGCAAAAATTAATCTGTAAAATAGATATTTGAAACATTTAACAATGTTTATTTTTGACACCCTTCATTTACAGATTATTTTGTCACGCAGTTGCGTAGTCAAATTACATAATGTTGTATTGTATTGCAATTTTAATATGCATTTGTTGTAATAGGTATTACATTTTGTTATAGCCAAAGTACTAAACAGGTTCAAATTTTACAATGTTTTAGTTTTTGTCAGATACTTATAGTAATTTACAATTCTGTATTGTAGAATGAATTTGAAATTTTATAAAATTTCTATACATATACGGAATTTAATTTTACTAAGATAATCAATAAAATTACTAACCAAAATTTGCTATTTGAATTACAATAATCATTATTTATTTTATACAACTTCTGTTTGCATTTTTACTATATATCATTTTAATCATGTACACTGTTAAAATTTTTTGTAAAATTACATTTGTTTTGCAAAACAAAGAATGAGTAAAATTACAAATCAGTGTATACCAATACAAAATTATAATACAATTTGAGTAATCTTTCAAGAATGTTGGGAAATCTACTAAGATAAGTTGTAATTTTACAATCTATATGTATAAATCCTACACGCATTGTAATTTTTCTAAACAGTTTGACAGTTTCTAATCAAAAGCATCTTAGATTTACAAACGTGGTTTGTAATTTGATTTGCTATAATGTTATATAAAATGTATAGTATGCCGATTGCGGCAATCTCGTGACGTTCTTACATCTCGCCTCGGTTGACTTAGGTGGACAGTATATAAGCTCAGGTGTCTTTCGTTTTTGGTGTGTTCCAATACACCAAATTGCCCGACATTGATAAGACCCAAAATAGGTTTATCTATCTAGCTGTCTGTCGGTATTTGAAGTTGGTGGAACGCACTTAAACCAAAGCTCTGCCGAAGTGAAGGTTCAATTTTTTTAAATCTTTACAGTAATGGGTCAAGAAAGTTTCTTTAAGAAACTAAGAAAATTGCAGTTTTTTTTCATAGTGTAATTACAATAGAATCATTCGTAAATTACTAAATATTTTTAGTGTAATTTGTTGTACAAAATAACAATATTTGTATTGTAATATTGCGAAACGAATTGTGTGTGTTATTTTTGTGTTCATTTATGTAGGTATGTGTTATTTTTTTGTTTAAGAAATTGATTAATAAAGCAACATTTTTTATCAAAATTATTTTCATTTGGGTTTTCAATTTCCAACAAATACTTTTGTTACTGGGTTCACAAAAAGGTTTGTAAAAATAAGGTCCATTGGATTTTAGAGGATTCGCAATATTTTAGCCATTTTTAATTTTGAAAATATCCAACTAAAAAACTTCTAGTCTCACTTATAAAAACACAAAAAAGATTGCACTCTCTCAAACTTGATTTCTTTACATTGTGGATTTTTAAAGTTTAAACCCTTGCATCCTTCAAATATAATAATTCCTAAATGTTCAAATAAGTAATTGACAATAGGTTCATTATCTAAGTAATTATAATTACTATAGTAATGAGTTAAAAGGTAAAATAGATAATTTTATAAAATAAAGACTTACTTAAATATAAAAATAATTAGTAGCAGCTGATTTCATAATAATTATTATTATTGTCTGGAAACTTAATTGACAATATTGTTTTGGATAATAACAATGATCCAATTAATTAAAAATAATAAATGTCAACATTATTAATATAAAAATAACCAAAAAAATGACAGAGAGGTATTTTCGAGGTTTCAGAATTCTTACTCGAGAAATTTTGTTCGCAAAGTTTCAATTGCACAGCTAAATCGCGCACGTTATTTGTGTTTCGCGTTGCAAGTATTAACTGAAAAACTTTGGTTTAGTAATACTCGATTTTGATTTATTATTTTTTATATAATTGATTAAGAAACTCGACGCTTATATGCTTATATAGTACGTTAGTGTGTGTATTTTATCTAAGAGATCATAGTGAATTATTGTGTTTTTAATTGTAAATGTAATTCAAGAACTAAATCGTTGCATTTTCATGTTTTGCCAAAGGATCGAATTCGGTACGTAATACGTAATCATTACCCAAGCAGCATTTTTGGTTCCAAAAACCATTACCAAAGTGGTGATAACTTTAAATAAGTTAAGTATACTAAACAGCTATACAAACTTTTAAATAGCAATATTTTGTAACAGAATTAATTAATTAATTAATTCCTTCCTTAAATGGTTACTATAAAGTAATAAACATTTAAGTAAAACTTGGTTGCCCCCAAGAAGACTTTGCAACTTTAAAAAAGGTGTTTTAAGTAAAAAAAACTTTTAAGTAAATTTAATTTGTAGCAGTTACTTTCGGTTGCTACCTAAAGATTACATTATAATTATTTTTACTTTGTAGTCCCTTTGCAAGATAAAATCTCGAAACTGAAACATGAGTTAAAAACAACAAAGTTAATAACTTAAAAGTTATTATTTTAGTATTTGGAACTTTATGGTAAAACTACCGTAAAGTAAATTAAGATGGAAAAAAACTTTAAAGTAGCGAAAACTACTTCAAAGGAAAATGCTTCTTATCGGCCATTTTTTACTTTACAGTACCACGTGGTAATGTAAATAATAAATTATTTTAATTGTTTGTAAATGGTTGTTTACTTTTTAATAAATAGTAATTTCGTTGGTAATAGACGGTATTAATAATTAAATAAAAAATTAATAATAAACATTAAGATTTTTTTATTTATAAACATTAAATAAATAATTTGTTTATACTTAAATATTGATGAAGCGCATTTATTTTACGAAAACAAAATTCATAAGTTCAACAGTAAAATTTAAAGGGTTTATAATTTTACCTGCCTAATTAAACATTATATTGTTATTCTGGAAGTTATAAACTACCAGTACATATTTAATAAACGACGACATTGAAAAGCCAAGTCCGTAGTGTTTCCATTTAAAAATGGAGGGATAGTATAATCTAATATAAGTTTGACAAAGACAGTTAATATAGAAGTAAAAACAAATAAATAAAAGTAATTATAACGCTCTAGCAACGATATTGAAACGTTCTAGTAACGTTCTAGTAACGTTCTAGTAACGTATACGTTCGAAATAGTAGCAGGGTTTATAGCTAGTGACATATTTGTTACCTTTTTGGAACTCAATAATTGTTCCCCACTTTTTTCCTAACCACCTTAATTATTGTTTTACAAAATTTGCAAGTTGTAATTATTTAATAGACAAACTTCCAGTATTTTTTGTTATAAAAAATATTTAAGATAAATATCTTCGTTTTTTTTGTTATGTTTTGTTTTGAGTGGTAAAAAATAATAGGTGACTCAATAAATGAATACTGGGGAGTAAAGTAATTTAAATGATACAAAGTTTATTATTTTGCTTAATTTTATTAAAATTGTACAGGTAGTTTTAGTACAATAATTGCAAAAATGGATAAAATAAAATAAACAAATGTTAACAAATCTTATTTTTATAACAGTGCACTCACTATGTATACATATATTTTATTTATAATACATACTTCATGTTAACACCCTGTATCGTAAACAAAGCAGCAAGCTTAATCCTTTCAAATTAATATCAACTCTCCAAAATGACCCTGTAGTAAGATAATATCTATTATGTGATAAATTGTACACCCCTCTTACCTGCACAAGTATCCACTCAACTATTTAAATCTATCATTCATAAAAATTTAATACATCTGTGATAGACGGCGAAAGTTGAAGTATTTGACGTTGATTTGTTATCGTAATTATAAACATACAAAATATAACAAATTATCGAAAATTTAATCAATAGTAGCCAAAATTTGCCAATCGGTACTTTTTGTCGTCAGTCGTTCCTAAAACATAAAAATGACTGGATCGCTGGCCTTAGTGTTGGTTATACTTATTGGTTTCTCGAATGCAAAGAAGGTCAAGGACAACGATGATAAGCTTATTGCAGTTGCCTTGGTAAGTAAAAAGTATTTATAATTATGCATAATACATACCTAATAATTGTAAATATAATATTTTACTTAGTTTATCAATAGCGCTTACTGACGCGCTACCCGTACTTTTGGTTTATTTTATAATAAGCGTAGGTATTGTCACAAAATAAGAAAATAATAATTTATTCTGTTACATGTAAAGTATTTCTTACGGTTAACCAAAATGGTTTTATAACGGTATAGATACGAAAAATTACCAAATTTTGGGAATGGTTTATTTTGTTATTTTACCTACATAATTACCTTTTTGATCTACTAAGAGAATAACGTAATAAAAACAATATAAATACCACAAATTTACGTAAAAAAACTATATGATTACTAACTGTTTGCTCTCTCATTCTAAAACATTGACATTCGTAATTTCTTTGTTCTGTTGGGATACGAAGAACTAACACTTTGACTCGTAAGATCGTTTATTGTAAATAAATTTTACATAATAATTAAATGAATAATAAATATTCGAGAAGTTAAATCTTAAGTTAAGTGAGTGAAAAGTAAGTAGTAAGTGTTCTTTTGGTTTCTAAAAAATGAGCTTTTATACAGCGCGATAATTTTTATCAGTTAATGGAAAAATAGAAGCGCTGTCTTTGAAATTATGAAATATCTAATGATGCGTAATAATTACTTGAACTATTTGAACTTTTTATTAATTTAATTTATGGACTTATTTTTTGTAACCCTAAAGATCACGACTTAAAGATTATTTAATATACATTAGAAAAACAAACTGTTATCAAATAAATATACAGGGTCTAACAAACCTCCCCCGTTAAGTGTTTCGATAAGGGTTAAAAATCCTATTGAAACACTAAATGGTAAAATTAAATTATACAATCTAAAACTTATAAAACACTAAGTAAACTACAAAGATACAATTAAAATTTAAAGTGTACAATATATAAAATAAAAATTAAAATAAAATTGTTATTATTATAATACCTAAACAAAACTATAATTATGAAATTAGTGTACAATATATAAAATAAAAAATTAAAATAAAATAAAATAGTGGTTATATATCTAAACAAAACTATAATTATGAAATTAAATTTTAAAAGATTTCTTCGAAAGACGAGGCCTACGCATCTCCGTGTAGACAGGTTCTAAGTCCTCCATGGGCATTGCATCTGCTTCGGAGTTGAGACTACGATAGCTTCTTCTGTGAGGTGGAAAATCATCCAGGTTGACTCGGTTATCAGATACAGTATTGTGGCTGTTGATACAAACCAGGTGACGGCATTGGTCGGGGTTGAAATATTTCTTTATTGAGTTTAGAAATCTGCAACGACAACATCGGCAACAAACATAGTAGCATATTATTAGCATTACTAATGTTCCAATTATTCCAAAGAAGATGTTGTACCATTTGGAATGGTTGATAATGAATGGTTGGTTTATATTTTTCTGTAGGACGTCGTCGAACTGTTGGAGTTTATGTTGTGCATGACTCAGTTCATTGAGGTTGAGGCTATGGAGTTTGATTGAAGACATTTCTTCATTTTTGAGGTAGGATTGCTCCTTGATACAGCAATCGTCTTTATTGATGTCCAGTAAAGGTATAAAGTTTGTATAATTTGACGTTTGGTTGGAAGTTGAAGTCAATAACGTGGATGTAGTGTAGCATTTACATTTCGGTTGTAATGTAAAAATACCGGAGCCTTGAAGTACAACGTCTGTGATTTGTGAAGCACCATAATTTTCGCAGCTTATGGTCCCAGTGACTGGTTGTGTTAAGATGTATAGCCATTGATTTGTTGAGAGGGGATGCCAAACTTCGATTTCTGACTTCATGGTTTTGGTGTCGCAGTTTGATGGGATTTTTTCAGGTTTTTGAAGTTTCAGAATCGTTTCGCAGGTTGGTCTTTCCTTGATTAGATGTATGATGATGTTGGAACAAATGTACTCGGATGGTGATATCTTCTGGCATTTCGATAATTCTGACATCTCTCCATAATACGTTCTTGTCGTACTTAGGATAAGGTAAGGGAAAGAAGGGTTTATATAGGAGTATATTGAAGAGTTTTGATATTGGACAGGTAAGGGAATCAAATTATATAGTTGATACAAATCTTTAGTTACTAGTGGTATCTTAATTGCATAAATTAAAACTTTATTTGTGTAAACTACTGAGAGTGAACATATTTGCGTGTATTTAAAAATGTTTGCATTATCATCTAGGTCTATTGGAAAATCTAAATCTGTTCTTTTATTATTAATTTTCAATAATTCTTCGCGTAAAGATTTTGGAGTAATTATTGAAGGGTGTAAAATATTTTGTTTGGAAAATAATATTGAAGAAATAATAACATCGAATTCTTCGTCTAATTCTTCGGTAATTTGAGATAATAAATTTAAATGATCCATTACTGTTTGAACGTAGGTTAATGAATTTATTCTAATAATGCTTGAGTTTGAAAATTTATTAAATATTTTTATATTTTTGTTTAACTTTTCTTCATTAAATTTAAGTGTCAATGCTGACCTATTATAACCAGAGATCGCTTCAGAGATTATATGAACTTGTTGCTTTAAAAGTTTTTGCATGTCTTGATTTTGATTAACTACTGCATGAATTGCGTCATTATAATATTCTGCGTCATCTGCATCGGGGATTCCAAATAACCATTTAAATGTATAAGATACACCGTTAATTAATCCTCTTTTTACTCTAAGTGACATTTTATCAGGTTCATGACCTGTTAGGTGGTTTATGGCTTCGAGTTTTTTATTTAATTTTTCAAGTCGAATTTCTATTAATTCTAGAGATTCTTTGCATAAAAATTCAGAATGTCTGAATGTTACATTTTTATCGTTAGGGTGCATGCAAGGGTTTTGAGATATAAAAAGATTTTTCGGCAAATTTTAATTTCATTTCGTAAATGCTTATATTATTGAATGATAAGAGTGTAAAATAGTCTTGGGTTAGTTTTACTTGACCTAAGTCTTGATAAAATATTCCTGATTTAAAATCTAATTTTTGGTTTTTATAGGGGATATTACCGGATATAGGCGGGAGTGTTAATATGTTAATTAGTGTCAGAACGAGAAGGGTTTTCATCTTCTGGAACAAAAGGTTTCAATAAATTATGATGAACGACTGATGTTTTCTTGTGACTAATTTGTATTTTGACCGTTTGATTAGGATGAATGTTTATGATTTTATAGGGACCTTTATAATTTGGCTGTAATTTTCTGCTAATACCGGGTGTAATATTTTTATTTAGGATATATGCTAAATCGCCTACTTTAAAATTGTGTGAATGAACATTTCTATCATAATAAATTTTAGAAGTTTCTTTGGCGTTTATTATATTTTCTCGAGCTAGTTGGAATGACCTATTTAATTTTAATTTTAAGTTAGAAAAATAATCATCGTAAGTATATTTAAATTCTGGTTTACTGGTAAGAGTACTAGGTATAAAAGCTTTATGACCAAAGAGTAGTTCGTAAGGTGTGAATTTAGTAGATTTATGATAGTGGGTATTGTAAGTGAACATAGCTAAGGGTACGTATTCGTCCCAATTAGTTGTTTTATCGTTTATGTAGTGTCGTAAATATTCTTTTAGAGTCAAGTGGCTTCTTTCTAAACTACCGTTCGTTTGGGGATGATAAGGGCTAGATAAAATGTGTTTAATTTTAAAAAGTTTATTTACTTCTTTAATTAGATTTGAGGTGAAGTCTGTACCTTGATCTGTTAAGATTGTCTCGGGTATACCAAATATACAAATAAATTGCAAAAGTACGTCAGCGACTGTTTTTGCTTCGTGATTAGGTACAGATGTTGCATATGAATATTTTGTTAGATCGTCTTGCATGGTAACGATAAATTTATTGCCTGCCTCTGTTAACGATAAGGGACCAACTACATCGATAGCTAATCTTTGAAAAGGTCGTTCGCTCGTTGTAGTTATCTCCATAGGAGCTTTTGGGGTTTTATGAACTAATTTATTAATTTGACAAGATTGGCAACTTTTAATAAAGTGTTTTATATCGCCTTTCATGTTTGGCCACTTATAATTTTCTTTAATTCTATGATAAGTTCTTAAAAATCCGGGATGACCGGCTACTGACGAAGAATGATTCTCTTGTAAAATATTTTTTATTTCATCGCGGGTTTTAGGACAAAATTTTGGTTTGTTTACAAGTACAATTTTGATATTTGATTTTGAGAATAAAAATTCTATTAATTCGTTAAATAAATCTTGTTTGATATTTTTATTTTCTTCTACAGGATTTTTAAGATATACTGTAAAAATCTTATTTGTTAAAAGAATAGACCGGAGTTTTTGCAAAGAGTAAAATAAGTCATTGTAAGTTATTTTGTCAAAATGATTTAATTTTGAAATTACTAAAAATGTGGTTTGATTATTTGAGTTTTTTAAAGTAATAGTGTCATAAAGATTAATGTTGTCATGATTTAATTGATTAATGTCTTGATTAATAATAAGACTTTCGTAACAAGGATTGTTTTCATCGAGATCTTTTGAATATAAAAGAATATTGGGAAATTTTGAAAAAACATTATCTTTTATTGTTTCAATGTCAATCAATTTTTGATTCATATAATGGAATTTAATAAAATCGCTATAAGTTTCTAATTTATTTTTATTTAAGTTGATTTGAATATTTTCGGGATTTCGCGAAAGTGCGTCAGCGTTACAATTTATTCTACCTGGTTTATAATGAATTTCGTATTCGAATTCTTCGAGTTTAAGTCTCCAACGAACTAATCTACTATTAGGATCTTTACAATTTGCTAACCATTTTAGTGGACGATGATCTGTACAAATAATAAACTTTTTACCATATAAGTATGGTCTAAAGTGTTGTGTAGCCCAAACGATCGCTAAAAGTTCTCTATCAGTAGTAGAATAGTTACATTCGGCTTTATTTAACGTGCGAGAGGCATATGCGATTGGCAAATCTTTACCAATTTCACCTTGTGACAAAATGGCACCT